ACCAAAATTTTGAGTAAGCGGTAACTCAAAAAATTTTGAAAATTTTGAAAAAACTTTTATACATTTTTATTCAATGTATATAAGGGAACAAATTCGGTAAGTATTATTAATATTGCTAAAATCATCGAAAATTCTTCAGATCACTTCCCGTGGAATTGCTCTTTTTTATTTCTTTTTTTTTTGTTTGTTTATTATTGAATTTAAACGTATTATTCCTTTTTTTTTATATTTTTTTTTTTTTATTTTTTTTTTTTTGAACGTAAGTTATAGGGTGTAAAATTTGAAATTTCTGTACTAATTTTGTTTATTTTTTCAGGTGGTTCGAGTACTTTTTTCTTTCGAGGTCGACCAGGTTTTCTTCGCGTTGGAATCAAAATTGTCTCGGGAATTGATTGTTGATCAATTTTGTCGAGCATTTCATTTTCCTGATTGTCGATTTCTTGTGTGGTGTCCAACTCACGAGGTGTTTCGAGGAATGATTTTTTACGAGGATGGGCGTAACGAAGGTCGTTACTATGTATTTTGGCAATTCGATTTTTTAGTTCGATTTCATAAATTTCGCCACCGCGATGTCTTTTTACTTCGTAGGGTCCATCTCCACGGGGAGCTAAACCTGCATTAAATCCTTTTTCTTTGTCGGATAACGGATGAGTTCGTACATAGACAAAGTCACCGACCTGTAATCTTTTTTTAGATTTATCAGGTTTGGCATATCTTTTGATATATTGGGATTGATGTTGATCAATTTGTTTATTTTGTTCCTTTAATTGTGAGGAAGAGTTTTCTTTAGTCGATAAAACCCATTCTCCAGGTTTTCTCATCGACGTTCCAAACAAGACTTGACTCGGCGTCCGTCCGGTTGCCGCGTTGCGTCGATTTCTTATATTAAATAAAATTTCGGCGAGTCCAGAGTCCCAATGTTTGTGCTCACAATTGATCAGGCGGAATCTCATTCCTTTCTTCAGTTCCTGGTTTCTTCGTTCGGTTGGATTTGCCTGCGGGTGGTATATAGGTGTATACCACGCAATGCAACTCCACTTTTCGCACGATTTCTTCCAGTTATCACTGGTGAATTGAGATCCGTTATCTGAGATGATAGATTTAGGGTAACCAAAACGACTGAATACTTCTCTTTCCAGTAGAGCAGTAATTTGATGAGTTTTGGAGGAAGCTAAGGGGAAGGCTTCAACCCATCTCGAATAAAGGTCCGTTGCCATGAGCAAAAACCGTTTTCCTCGAGGAGATCGAGGATAAGGTCCCATCAGATCCACAGCAATTGTTTCCCATGGAGTTTTTGGTTGACGTGGACGGACTTCGTTGGTACCCTGTGATCGAAAGGATTTACAACAGGAACAAAGTTTACAACTTTTTACGTACTCGATAATTTGTTTCGTCATTTTTGGCCAAAAGAAATGTTCTTGGATTGCACGTAAAGTTTCCTCTTCTCCAGGATGTCCTGCAAGACCAGAATCATGATATTCATACAACAATCTCTGGTAAGAAACTTTTGGTACTACTATCACCCAAGAACCTTGAGAATTTTTTTTCTGAAAGAATCCTTCTTTGGTTAATTGATGCTGTTCGACGAATTTGTTCTCAGTTTTATTTAAATTTACTTTATTTTTCAGAGTCATCCATCTTCGAGCCTGCTCAGTGATGTCTTCGTCGTCTTGCTGTAACGAAATGATTTCTTCGAAGAAATTTGATGAAGTGATTTGAGCTAGAAAAGGTGTTTCTATTTGAGGTCGAATTTCGGGTGGAAGTAGTAAATTTGTGTCTTCAACTTTATTGTTTTCTTCTGTTGGTATTTGAGCCAAAGCAGAAACCAACTCTGAATCAGCGTTTGTACGTGCGTGAATGATGTAATCGAAATCATCCAGGAATCGAGCCCAGCGACTTAATTTTGGTTTTGTTTCCTTAGAAACTTGCAACCATTTTAAGGCTTTGGGGCTGGTATATAGATGAAATTGTGCAGCTTCGAGTTGAGGACGATAACGTTTGATGGCCCATTCTACTGCGTGACATTCCTGTTCGAATCGAGAATAACGAGTTTCCACTGGACTAAATTTAGCGCTTGCATAACTGATGACATTACGTAAACCATCAACGATTTGATAAAGGACCGCTCCCATACCATTTGGACTGACATCTGTTTGTAAATTTAGTGGAAAATTCGGATTGGGTCGACCTCAAACGCAAATCATTTTTAAATGCTTCTTTTATTTTTTGGAAAGCTTCGTCGGTTTCCGTGGTCCATGTCCATTTACCTGATTTTTTACCCAGCAAGTTGGTAAGTGGTCTAGATAGAATAGAAAAATCAGGAACATATTCTCTAATCCATCCACAGTTTCCTAAGAATTTCTGTAATTCCTTTTTATTTGCAGGTGGAGCAGCCTGTAGGATAGCTTGAATATGCTGTTCTTGAGGTTCGTTATATTCCGAGCGAACATTATGACCAAGATATTTAAGATCTGTTTGTCCAAAGAAACACTTATCGAAGGAACATGTTAATCCATGTATTTCTAATCTTTCGAGGACCAAATTGACGTGTTGAATATGTTCCATCCAACTATTTGAATAAATAATAATATCATCTAGGTATGATATACAAAATTTGTTGATGTAATCACGTAAGACTATTTGACTCATGAGTGTTTGGAAGGTATTTGGAGCACATTTTAATCCAAACGGCATAACTTTAAATTGGTATGTACCACCATTTGGGATGGAAAAGGCAGTATATTTTTTGCTGTTCTCCTCCAGTGGTATTTGCCAATAACCCCAACGTAAATCCAACGTTGAAAAGATTTTGGATTTTCCTAGTTCTTTAAGGGAATCCTGAATCCTAGGTAATGTATGGTTTACATCTTGGGTGATAGCATTTAGTTTTCTGTAATCAATACAGAACCTTTTCTTTCCGTCTTTTTTCACGGTTAAAACCACGGGGGAGCAATATGGTGACGTACTAGGCTCTATCACGTCGTTGGACAGCATTTCTTGTACCTGTTTTAACATTTCTCGACGCTTTTCGAGAGATGCAGTATAAGGTTTTTGTCGAACTGGTCTTGAGTCAGTTAATTCAATTACGTGTTGAATAGAACGAGTTTGTGTTAAGTGAGGATCAGGAATAAGAGTTTTCGAGAAACGACGCAAAACATTAAGGAATTCATCTGTAGATTCTGCTGGAAATCCGTGGTCAAGATTCTTAATTTTTTCTTCTTTTTCTGGTGAAGTCGATGTTAATGGACCAGATTTCTGAAGAAAGAAAATAGTGAATCTTGTGTCTTTCCCAACATAGATACGTTCACTTGGAATATCGATAATCGCTTGTTGTTCCGTCATCCAAGGTATACCTAATATCATTTGTTCCCTAAGTTCATTACATACTAGAAACTCTATATTGACAGTATGACTACTAATTTTGATTTTCAGGGCTAATTTTCCTAATACTCTCATTGTTGTTCCAGGTGCAGCTAAATCTACGCTATCGATGCACGGATCGAGGTCTTGTAATTGTTTGGAAGTTAAATTGGAAGAATGTATAAAATTTTCTGTAGCTGCAGTGTCTATAATTGCTGGAATCTCTTGATCATTTAGAAACGTTAATATACGTGGCAGTCTACGACAATCTTGAGGGGTAAGATATAGAGAAATTAATGGTTGTTTTTCTGGTTGGCGGTGGTGGATGGTTCCACCGCCCTTCGCCAGTTTTCCTGATTTTGTTTTTTGCGATCATCAACTTGTTTCCGAAAAACAGGACAATCACGATGGAAATGTTTTTCAGGACAATACCAACAATCAGGGGGAGTCTTCTTTGTGTTGGATTCCTTTTCCGAAGGTTTCTTTTCCTCTCTTCGTGGTTGCGTTCGTAGCATGTCGAATTCATCCCTTTCAGCTTCGACAGCTCGTGTGAGAAGAGTATGACAATCATGTGGACTAGAAGCACGAATTGCATGACGTATGCTTGGTTTCAATAATTCTATCAAGGTATGTACAATAATAATTTCTGGTTCTAATGGCCTTAATCGTCGAAATAATAAAAATTTCTTTTGCAGGAATACACCCACGGGGTCTTTTTCATGTTGACGTTGTGAATACAATTGTGATTGTAACCTTCCAAGCACCGAAGGTGAATTGTATTGACGAAGAAGTAAATCCTGGAACTGGTTCCACTCAAAAGGTATACCCTTATAAATTTCCCACCACTTCTCTGCTTCTCCATGAAGAGCTTGACAGGCCAATCTAGTTTTATTAGATTCTGGAGTTCCGACCAAATGGAAATACTCCTGCATTTCCTTCAAAAAATCTGAAGGATTCTCGTGATCTTTACCATAAAATTCTGGAACGGGAAGAGAGTTCCTTTGTGCTTCCAAAGAATTTCTCCAAGCGTACCAATTTGGATCTACAGGTGGAGGGTACCAAGGAGCAGCTACTGGATAGTAAGATGATGATGTTCTTTGAGGATCAGCAGTTGAAGGCGATTGATACGATGACTGAACATAAGATGATGATGTTCTTGGAGGATCAGCAGTTGAAGGCGATTGATACGATGACTGAACATAAGATGATGATGTTCTTGGAGGATCAGCAGTTGAAGGCGGTTGATACGATGACTGGACATAAGGTGATTGGATTACAATGTTGTCGGAAACACTTGATGATATGCGAGGTTCATTGATGGAAGTTGTTGTTTGAGGTGCTGTACTAAAAATTTGATTCGAATTTGTTTGTTGATTGAAGAAAAATGTAAGTGGTCGTCTTTCATTGTTATGAGGAACATTTGCTGACGTGGTGATTGTAGCAGTGCTAGTGATCGGTATTACTGTGGATGTAGTTATAAGTTCGTCGGAGAAATTGGTTTCTGAGTCATTTTCGGAACCATTTTGATTTTCAAAGATAGAATTTCTCAAGTTATCTTGAGGGTTTAATTCTTCCATGTTTGCGTGTGATACAGGAGGATTTATTTCGATAATTCGGTTGCGAAGAATTCTTCTTTCGGGTAATGGAGTTCTAGATGTCATCAGAAATCGGTTTCCTAATTCCACTTCTAGCTAGTTCATCGGCTTTAGAATTTCCCGGATGACCTTGATGCCCAGGTACGTGTATCCAACTTATTTCTAAATTCTTTGTTGTATTTTCCAAAAATTGAAGTTCTTCTCTGTTTTTTACAGGTCTTCCAGATGATGTAATCCAGCCATTCTCCTTCCAACGAGGAATCCACTCCGTACAACTATTTATTAAATATTTGGAATCTGTATTGATTCGGAGTTTAGAGACGCCAGCTTTTTTGGCTTGTAGTACAGCTTGAGTCGCAGCTTGTATTTCAGCAAGATTGTTCGTTTGCTTGCCGGTGAGAGGAGCAGATATATTCAAGGGATGATTATCTTCGAAGAAAACGCCAATACCACCTTTTGGGGATGTCCTTCCGTTTCCTGAACATGCACCGTCGGTATAAACGTTCACAAAGCCAGTGTTGTCCTTTGGTAAGATATAATTTTGTTGATCCATAAACAGGTAAAAATGTCGTTGAGATTTAATCGATGATTTATTTTTTCAGATTCGGAGTTGATTTGGAAATTTTCTTTTCGGAATTTAATTCACTAAATTTTATGCTAAAACGTTGATTTGACTCCTTTCTGATGATAGTGACAGGAACGGAGTAAGGTGATTTGTTCACTTCAATTAAAGATTTTGGAAACATAATATATGTAGAGATAAAAATAAATATTTTGCGTCAGGCGCCACCGGGTGTTTATTTTCTGTATCCCACTCCCGGAAGTGAGGTTGAAAAAGTTTTAGACTTCAGGGTTCGGGTTATTTTCAAATGACCTAAGGCCCCACGTTGGGCGCCAAAATTGTTATCCAGAATTTTTCTTCTTTGTTATTATTTCAATAATTTAATTTCCGATCCTACATAGAGGATCGAGAAATAATAGAAAAATAGAAAAGAAAGAAAGATCAATTTCCGATCCTGCGAGAGGATCGTGAAATAGAGGAAAAAGAATGAGTTTTTTTAAGAAAAAGGAAAAAAAAGATTAGAGAATTTCCGATCCTGCGGAGAGGATCGAGAAATAATGAAGGAAAAGAAGGAAAGTCAATTTCCGATCCTGCGGGAGGATCGTGAAATAAAGAAGAAAGGAAAAAGTTATTTTTCGATCCTACGGAGAGGATCGTAAAGATAGGAAAGGAAAGATTAGAAAAGGTGGAAATAAAGAAAGAAACCTGGAAATTCTTATGGATGAAGGATGTTTTTTCAGTGAAGTTTCTTCTTTCTAGAAGAGTCCTTAAATATCTTCTGATATTGGAAATAATGAGAAAGGAGAAAAAATATTTAATTATATTTTAATAATTGTAATATTTATTTAAATAATCTTCAATACAATTTCCTTATTTGTCACTTTTGAGAAAGAAAGAACAATTTGAACGTCCGTTCAGAATCGCGAGTTAAGGAAGAGTAACGAAATCTTTGTTTTTGTCTAATGTCATGAAACAACTATTTTCGTCATGGCAACGCGATGCCCTTTGTTTTAATTTAACAATTGAATATTTTTACTTTATTTCTATTGTTTAATTTTTTCCTAATTCTTTTTTAATGATAAGAAAAAATATATTTAATTAAATTAATTATTAATTAAAAATGAGCGTAGCAGTACCAAAATATTCATAAAAAATATTATTGGTAATATACTTATAAGACAAATAGAAAAAAGTGACATCTAGATTTGTTCATAAATCTTATATACACATGCGGCGATCCATCCAGCTGTTATGTGTCATGGCGTCGCACAGTTTGATCAAACAGCGTGTGGTGCATTCTGTTTGATATTTTCAGTGTTTATTGGTGTTTGAGTTTTACCTTATTAGTAGTTTATTGTAAATAATGGTAATTATGAAAAAAATAATACATAATTACCTAAATAATAATGTATTATGTTTTTTTCTCTCTGAAATATAATTTGTTTTCTAAATGTACACTTAAAACAATGCTTTTGTATGTTGATTTATATACTACATTTAAAACATTGTTTAAAAAAATGTTTTTAAGCTAATTTAGTTTCGAGAATTCAATAAAAGAAAATTTTTGCATTTCTTTTCCTCATACCTTTTTTGTTTTTTCTATTCCTAATCCAAAATCATTAGTTTATTATTAACATTCATAAATAAACAAAAAATAATTGCTCAAAAACGAATTAAAATACTTTTTTTTCCTTCAACATTTTTGAAAATTCAAATCCTTTCAATTCCGTTTATTTCTAAGAATGAATTGAAATGAATAGAACTTAACATTTTCTTATGTCTGCCAGTGGAAATGAGCTCAAAATTAAAATTAGGAATTTCTAAGACAAGTCCTCAATCTACAAATCCTGCAATATTGCGTTCGCATTCCCAATCACTTTAAATTACTTATTCGTTCTTAAGTAATAGTTAAGAGAAACATTCTTCTAAACTTTACTGATACTTAAAAAAATTGAAATTTAAAGGTTAAATTATCCATATTTAAAAAAATTTAATTTTCGAGGTTAAATTATCTTGAAATAATTTCTTGAAAATAAAAAAAATATATTTTCGTAGTTCGTCATATTTTTTCCATGCTCGGAAAAAATCCAATTTTTAAAAATTGGGTTATGTTCCAGAATATTTAAAAATTGTTTTTAAAATCGGTGAAACATTTATATGAATTTTGGGAGCGTTCACAAATGATGTCACGTTTTTGGGGGTAGGGAGGTCTCTACTAAACATGAAACAAAGTATTTTTATATGTGAAATTTCATGAAATTGCGCGACAGGGGAAGGGGGGTCTAAAATCCCGAAAAATTGCATGACATCATTTGTGAACGCTCCCTTTTTGTAATGGGTATCAATTGTAAAAGTTTTACTTACCTTTAGAAAAAATGATTTATATATCTTTATAGCTGCCTATAAGAATCAATTTCCACAATGAGTTTACTTACTTTACAAAATTTTATCACTTGAGTTTGGTTTTTCACAATATAATAAAATTTATCAATATCAAATAATATTAACTACAGGTGTGACTTATCAAAGTCTTGAATGTCTTAAGACTTTCTTATTCATTATATTCCGAAAAATTTCCGTAAAAAAATCAATTCTCGGAAAGTTTACAAAGTGATTTGCGTAACAAAATTAATTTTCGGAAGATTTCCAGATAGTTTCTAGAAGATTTCCGTAAAAAATAAACCGGAAGATTTTAAAATGATTTCCGTAAAAAAATAAATTTCCGGAAACCTCTTCCGGAAAGTTTTCGGAAGTCTCTTCCGCAAAATTTCCGGAAATCCTTCCACATGGGAACGTGAAAGATAAGAATTAACGACCTCTTAAGGCTATGTCTAAGTTGTGAAATGTAAACAAACCAAAAGGTTACTAAACCAGCACTAAAATTGCAATTTTGTGACAGCCAATTCTCCCACAAAAAATAACATTTTTACACTTTCTTTACGAAAATTAATAATTAGAGTATCAAAATTTCCAATAAAATTGTTTTTGACTATCTATGAGCAATAAAAAGCAATTAGTAAAAAAACTAATTAAAATGACCTGTAAAATGGCATTTTTGACGCGTCGCGAAAAATAAACTGTTTGAGTATATCAACCGCACGGATGATGAAGAAGTTACATGTCAGCGATAGGACCTTCGACATGTGGAAGGGTAAATTTTTTCCTTTCCTCCTTGATATTACAAGAGAAAGGGTAAAACCTTCTTCATCGTCCGTGCGGTTGATATAGTCAAACAGTTTAATTTTTCGCGACGTGAACTCTGTTGCTCGCTGCGCGTGCGCAGACAGTACCAAGGTCGCAATGACATCGCCATGCAAAAAGGCACATTTTGTTTTTGACTGAAACTCAGTGGTTTTCTCATTTTTTCAGTTATTCAAAGTTTAGTAACCAAATTCGATACTTTAGTACACCATTTCCATAAAGGAAATGTGAATTTATTTTTATTTACGCAAATGGGAACGGCAAAAAAATGGTTCACAATTCGGTCGATAATGAAGCATTTTTTCGCTGTTCCCATTTGCGTAAATAAATATAAATTCACATTTTCTTTATGGAAATGACGAACTAAAGTATCGAATTTGATTACTACACCTTGCATAGCTGAAAAATGAGAAAACCACTGAGTATCATTCAAAACCAAAACTAAGAATGCATTGACAGCACCATGCGAAAATTTAAATTTTGTTTTCGACTGAAACTTAGTTATTTTCTCATTTTTTTCAGCTATGCAAGGTGTAGTAACCAAATTCGATACTTTAGTTCGCCATTTCCATAAAGAAAATGTGAATTTATATTGATTTACTCAAATGGAAACAGCGAAAAAATGCTTCATTATAGACCGAATAGTGAAGCACTTTTTCGCCGTTCCCATTTGCGTGAATAAATATAAATTCACATTTTCTTTATGGAAATGGTGAACTAAAGTATCGAATTTGGTTACTAAACTTTGAATAACTGAAAAAATGAGAAAACCACTGAGTTTCAGTCAAAAACAAAATGTGCCTTTTTCATGGTGATGTCATTGCGACCTTAGTACGGTCTGCGCACGCGCAGCGAGCAACAGAGTTCACGTCTCGAAAAATTAAAGTGTTTGACTATATCAACCGCACGGACGATGAAGAAGTTTTTACCCTTTCTCTTGTAATTTCAAGGAGGAAAGGGAAAAATTTACCCTTCCACATGTCGAAGGTCCAATCGCTGACATGTAACTTCTTCATCATCCGTGCGGTTATACTCAAACAGTTTATTTTTCGCGACGCCTCAAAAATGCTATTTTACAGGTCATTTTAATTAGTTATTTTACTAATTGATTTTTATTGCTCATGGCCAAACATGATATTTTTGGACATTTTGAAACTCTAATTTTCCATTTTTGTAGAGAAAGTGTAAAAATGTTATTTTTTGTGAGAAAATGGGCTGTCGCAAAATTGCGATTTTAGTGCTGGTATAGTAACCTTTTGGTTTGTTTACATTTCACAACATGGACATAGCCTTAAAATCGTCCAAAAATATTTTTTTATCCCACATGCACAAAAATGGCGCTGTTAGATAGCTGACGACAGGGAGTAAAGTCACTCACTTGTTCGACCGTATGAAAATGGCGACCATTTTCTCCCATGTGCAAAAGTAACAGCTGATCCCATGCATTATTTTTCCCAAGGGAGAAAACGGCCGCCATTTTCATACAATTCGAACAAGTGAATGACTTTTACTCCCTGTCGTCTGCTATCTGAAATTGCCACTTTTGTGCATTAGGAATAAAATAGTATATTAAGCAACAAGGGTATAAAGGCTGCCATTTTTTTACAGTGATTTTTGTGAACGAGGCTGCCTTTACGTACCTTGTTTCTTAATATACTATTTTCTATTCTGTATTTAAAAAAAACACACGTATTTTTTTATTTTTTTTTTTGGAGGCTAAATATATGAGTTATGAATTTTCAGAATTTTCGTTTGTTAAATGTAGATGTTACGTATGACTTTGTAACCTTTATATTTCAATACAAACAACGAATTTTATTTAAATTATATAAAATCCATTTAATCATTTTTTTAACCTAAAAACTCAATCAACATTATTACACAAAAACACATATTAATTGTCAATACGAATAATTTCCAACATTAAGCAAATTCTTAACAACCTACTTTTAGTCGGGTATTTAGCACAAATAATTAAGCAAGGTACAATTTTCTTTATTTTAATATAGCAAGGTAAGGTTTCCTTCAATTAATTTAAATTATTCCACAATAACGAAGTGGTTTAATTTTATTAATTTTGCAAGTACTAAATTCTGCAAGCTGACAGAATAAACTGCATTGAGGATTTCCCCACCTAATTGTCAATCAATAAAAAGAATTGACAAGGAGAAATTTGGGCAGTGGCCCGCGTAAACTTGGCGTAACTAAGTTGGGCAGTTTAATTCAGGCAAAGTTACCTGAACGATATATTTTTTCAGTCGTATAGACTTGATTGTTTTGTCACTTATTGTGAATCAAAGGGCGTAGTCCCAAGTTATTGTGTAAAAATAAATATTAAAATTGAAATTATCTTCATCTCAACTAATATAAAAGTTGAAACAAACAATAAAAGAAGGGCGATTTTTGAGATCTTAAAATAAAGAAAGAAAAACGATTAAAAGTGAGTAGAAAATTTACATTTCACACACACATTCAACACAAATGCTAAAGCACACATGAATTTTTATATGTTATTTTTATAAGACTATTCTAGAAAATACAAAGAATATCAACTTTTTCTATTTTGAAATTTACATTTCTAAAGGGAAATAATTTAGAAAAAACTGTATTTGAAAATTAAAAGTCATAATAAAATATGTATACTTTATAATTTTCCGTTATTGATTTTTATTTATCCTTATCATTAAAATAACATTCATTAAAGAAATATTAATTTAATCCAGATTTCTATTTTTATTAATTTGGCATTATTGCCACGCAATTGAAATAAATAATTGCGTAAAGGGAAAAGTCCCCTACCTTTCAAATTTCTCATTTACTGAAGAGCATTGTTCGTTATCTAGATAAAATTTAAATTAAAAATAA